ACTATGACAAAATATAAGGAAGTGATTCCCATAAAAGTCTCTATAATGATTCCTGCTGGGGGTAGTGATGATATTACCTTCATAATAAGTCATTAAGCTACAGATTTGATTTCTATATTTGTAATTTCATTCTTGGGGGAGGAGGGAACAAAAAATAATATGCAAAATAATATATATTAGAAAGTAGTAAGTGCTACTAAGAAAAACAAACAGGAGAGAGAGAGAGAGATAAAGAACGTTGAGACAGACATTGCAATTTTGAGTCAGTGGTTAAGGAAGGCTTTGCTGAGAGGGTAACATTTAAGATCTGAAGAAGATGAAGGAATAAGCCACGTGTGTAAATAGAAAAAGACAGTTTCAAGCATAAGAAACAGTACGAGTAAAGCTCTGAGGCCTGGGGTGTCCCTGGCATGTTTGAGGAATCTCAAGGAAGCCAGTATGAGTGAGAGAGAGAGCAGCTGAAGATGAGGGAAGAAATTGAGTTAGGTCGTATAGAGTCCATAGACCATGCTAAGAATTCTGACCTTTAGTTTAACACGAGGAGACAAAGAAGGGTTTTGAGAAGGGGAATGTATTGTTCTGACTTAAAATTTTAGCGGATCACTGGGTCTGCTGTGTTGGGAATAGACACAAAGGGAACCAGTGAGGAGACTGTTACTGGAGTCAAGGATAATGACCAGGTTTGGGGCTTGAACAAATAGAAGACTGGAAATGCCATTAATTCAGATGGGCAAAAGTCCAGGAGGAACAGATTTGGGGGATATCAGGAATTCAGTTTTATAACATGCTACATTCAAATGCTATTAGGTATGGATAGGAAGACATCAAATAGGCAGATGGCTATATCAACCTAGGCATATAAATATTTTATATATATTTTAAAGTTTTCTACACATCTTAAACATCTCAATCAACTTCTCCCTCATATGCAATACAGAGACAAGCTCACGGCATACAAACTGAGCAAACATAATACAGAAGGAATTGCTATACTTGCCAGTGACTATGGAGAGTAATGGCTGCAGCCAGGGAGTAGTCCATCGCAGAACAAGGATTCAAATAAGCAGCTGGAAGCAGGCCCAGGAGCATAACACTGACAACCCTCTCACTAGTCCAGTGGAGAGATGCAGCCTTGGAATCAGCTACAAAAAGGACCAGATTCATAAGGTTTAAGGGGGGAAACACATCTCTCATGCTCAACATTTGCTAAAAAGTAACCCAAACTGACAAATAGTATATACAAGATTTAGCTCTGAGCATAAAGAGACTGAGGTGTAAAAACATGTCAATGAACCAGCCTGGACAACATAGCAAGACCCTGTCTCAAAAAAAGAAAAAAAGAGATAATTGAGAGAGATGCTATCTCCTTCCCTTCTTTGAAGTCTTTTAGCAGAGGGAAATCTCAACGCATACATAGTAAGTAGAAGACACACCCACTTTGCTTATAAGCAAGACGGACAAAATATTTTTACAGAATTAAGCCAGTCTTGGCCTTCAATGAGGTGGACAGATACCTTATTAATATAAGTTAGTGATACCTGCTGAATTCCTTTAAAACATTACATATTTACTTACATCTTCTAATCTTTGGAAGTAATGGAATATTGTCCCTCAAAACAAAGTTGAATCAGATAATTCAAAGAGAAGAAAAGTTCTGATGTTAACTTTTAGGATCATGGTCCTTCTTCTGCCCCATTATTTATAAATAACCCAATATAGATATGGACGTGAAAACTTCTTTTAAGCAAGTGAAAAACAATATGAGCTTTAAACATTTCTTTGAGAGGCTCTATCTTCTTTTGATTACAGACCCCTTTGGAAATCTGATAAAAGGATATAGCTTATTCCCAGAAAAATGTACATGGGTACATACATAAAAATCTATATATATAACTTCCTTCAGCCCTGTGAACTACAAGTTAAAACTGCTCTGCTAAATTTAGTTAAACTAAGCAAGGAATCTAGAAACAAAAACTTTTCAAAGGTAAAAAAGTTCTAAAAAACTATATTTGCCTAATCAAAAAAACTATACTTGCCTAATCTCTCATAACTTAAATGCAACTCTAAGTGGTTGACTCAAGAATGAAGAGAAATGTTTATCTCTATAACACTGATCTCTCCGGACT